TGTGTGTGTGTGTGTGTGTGTACGTGTGTGTGCGCGCGAGCATGTGTGTGATCATTTAAATGTCGTGTTATGCGTATAACTAACAGGTGGGTGGATAAATGTTTGGGAGACTCGGCTAGGCGAATATTAAAAATCAGTCCCTCCAAACGAAGTCGTGTTTATTACAAAGTCATCCATCGGGTTCGTGTAACACTGCAATGTGGCTTTATACCTATAGACTCAAACATATTCACAACCTTTTAGAAACGCCAATCGAACGTCACCTAACTTTCAAAACTCATTAGCCTTTAGAAGGCACAATTGTACTCGAGAAGAACAATAAGTGAATTCAGCTCATCCGAATGGCACAATATCCGAATCCGAATATCAAATTTGAATCTCACAATGAAACCAAAAAGTACGGTTTTACAGCCCGTGAGGTCAGAGCGTATAGTTCGAAAGCCGGAGCGGCACCGTTGCCATGCTTGCTTGACGATCAAATTGTGAGTGTCAAGACTAATAGTCGAGTTGCCGAGTAGGGAAATTTGACTGAACGTTGCAATCGGGTATACTAGTATACAAGGTTTTTTGTGGTATAATACTCGCGGCAGACTGACGCGCGCTAGGCGCTGCAGTGTGAAGCGTGTAACTCTTCCGCACGCTCTGTATTCTACCAGCCATTCCGAGTACTCGACGACAAGGGTGACTTCAACAAGTGCGTGCTATGCGGTCGTCACCGCGGCCGGCTGGCGACCCCGCTGGACAAGTGCATCTGTCAGAGTATGACCATCTGTACAACGTGCCACATGGACAACGGGTCAGTGACGGCCAGTACCTAGCTGCGCATGCGCTGACAGCGCAGATCGTTATAGTGCGCGTTTTAAAAAGTGACAGAAGTGGGGGGGGCGGTTACACCTATACTTGTCCGTGCTTGTAATTGATCGGGTCGGTATTCTTCTCTCTAGCATCATACCACCTAGACTACGCTCCTGCAGTACTAATACTACGAGATTCTTAATGCGGAAACAGGAATTATCGACGTCGGGTACAAAAACCACAGAACTTGATAACGAAGGTTTCAGGATGTTCGTAAACTATATCATGTAAAAACTCGTGTTCGTGGCTTTTCACGCGAGAATGACTAAGTGAAATTGAGAATATCCGTTTTAATACAACTATAGACATATATAGTTTTACGCCAATAGGAACATGATTTTTTTTTAAATCAGTATGAACGGCATTGCATATATGCAATAGTATATATGCATATATGCATATACATATTAACATATATAATTATATATATATATACATTGCATATATTCTATACATTGGGAACAATGTAATTGTTGATAGTAAGATGGTTGAGAAGTGAGTGACAGAGACACCATAAAGCAATCGCACAATCGCATAAGCAGCAGTTTTGCTGCTATTAGTCTGTCTAAGGAGCGCTGTCACTGCGTGTCAGTCGCAGTGCATGCGTGCGTGCGTGCGTGTTTCATTTGGTGGCAGGAGAAGGTGGTTGGTGAGAAGGGATGTATAGATAAGGTTTCTACCCCCTCCTGTATAAGGTCCATGTGCGTCACGTCTTGCGTCTGCGGTAGAAAAGTACGTATATATATATATAGGAGACGCCATCATCATTTATGTAATTACTGGTGCTTTTATGATTCTCACGGCCCTTAGTAATGGGCCTGTTTGCTCGGAGCGATTGACTAGCCAATTAGCGTCGCGAGAACGGCGTTCTAAAAACGCTGCTTAGTAACGAAGTGCCGCAAAATGTGGAGTGTGGCGTGCATGCGTAAAACCGCGCGTTAACTGGGACTAGTTTGAGTATGATCGACCGAGTAACAGTATTCAAGGTCGAGCGTGGTTATCTCGCTCTAGCAGATATTTCGGTTAGTCTCATGATTTCCTGTGTAATGTACGGGGTGCCCTTACTGTTCTGTTTTTGTACAGTATAGCGGGACGATTTTTTTGTATAGTTTTTTGTTCTGTCCGTATTTATTGAAGCTTGTATTAAAGGTGTTGGCATACACGTGTAACGTGTTAGTGAAGTCACACGCTTCACACGCTTAACGCGAGCGCGGTGGTATAGACAACGTTTTGTATAACCGTCAGATGGTGTGTCCTTGCATCTATTTGTAGATATATACGTGCTATACGACATAGAGTACACACGCGGTCCCGTACATATACTATTGCACATAGATATACATGTGCACGTTTACTTTCAGTGAAATACCTATAGGCTATAGAAAAGAAATCTGGCCGAATATGTGCAGTAGGAGGGGCTGTTCGAGAGGGCGCCACATGTGCGCAGGTTAGCACAGAGCATATAAATCGCCGGTGTTTTATATGCTCTGGTTAGAATTAGAAATCGCAGCCTGTGTAAGGTCTTGTATGTGTGTGGCTTAAAGACGGTAAACGGGGCTACGATTTTCATGGTAAGATTACAAACATAAATGTGTGTGTACTTGATTAGAAAGCCATACGCGTCGTTTCTCTCCTTGCGGGAGATGTGTGGTAGTTTTGTCCTCGAGAAGTGTGTGTGTGTGTGTGTGTCTGTGCGCGCGCGTGTGTGTTATGTGCGATCTGTAGCTACTATTTTGATTCGGAACATGAAATATTCTTTGAAACCGTTTATCGTTATTGAAGTCGTAATCTATCTAAGAAAAGAAACGTCACTGAAAGCGTGGGTAACGGTAATGACCTTGCGCGTGCCGTCATCGTCATTCTGTGTGACATCACCGTCATCGTATGTGACGTCATAGTCGTTGCGCACGACGCCACCGTCATTCTGTGTATATGAGAAAGTAAAATTCATGTTGTTCCACATAGTTCGTGTTGTTCTATCTGCGTCTTATTATTATATATGGCTCCTAAATTATACCATGAATGCAAAGTTTCACTTCAGAAATTAAAATTTATTTCTTCTGTTTATGCGTTTTCATAATTATCTATATTCTGCAACCCATTGTGATGATATGATAAAACGATTCATATTTAATTTAATGCTTTGAAAATATACATACTTACTAGTAGTAGTGATATATTTTGCTGCTACGATCTTTGTTTCTAACATATATATTTCACGAGCTAAAGCTTAGCTAGTTGATGACCAAGATCCCAGTAAGTACGTGTGCAATTCTGGCAACAGCATGTACGACAATTTTTCTGCAATTTCTCCACTAATTACAAAATATAAATCCCCTTCGTCGCATTTTATTCGACATTATCACTGGTAGGATTTTATCGCAGTTTTTAATGAAAATTATTACGGAATTTTATTGCGTTGTGCATGAAGTCACACACTCACACACACAGGGGCCTATATATATATATATATATATATATATATATATATATATATATATATATATATATTGGGTATATATATATATATACATATACAAGATACAAGATACTACTCAGTAGATGTTACACTGTCTCTGCCCTCATCTGTTCTTTCTCTTCGTCTCTCCCTCTCTCGCTATTGCGGGCAGTGATCGTTGCTCGCACCGCAGTACATGCAGTTCAGCTTGTCAATATCGCTCTGCACGAAGCCACCGCCGACGTGCGGCTGTCCCAGCTCTGTCCTGCAGGTCGGGTCGGTTTTCGCACTCATCGTCATTCGCCCGTTCATGCTGAACGCATAGCAGCTGTAGTGCATCACGGAGAAGAGATCGTATGCTCCGTACAGGTCGATCTCATCGGCCGTGTACTTGTCAAAGTTGTAGCGCATGTCTGCGAAAGAGACGAGTAGCCAGCCATATGGCGGCGGTCAGTGCTGGTCAGGCTGGCAGTAACAATAACGCGTTTACGTATCAACAGCCAGACACAAATCGAACAACAACAGCAGCAGCAACAACAACAACAACAACAACAAACACAACAACAACAACATCAACAACAGCAACAACAAAAACTCCGAAGAGAAAGAAAGAGAGAGAGAGAGAGAGAACGAAGGGGAAGAGGAGAAAGAGAGAGAAAGCGAGCGAGAGAGAGAGAGATAGAGAAAAGGAAAAAAAGGGGGAGGGGAAGAGGAAGGCAGGCAACTGGCAAGGTCACAGCAAGCTCGTACGTTTACCGCGAGGGGGAGGGGAAGAGGGAGGCAGGCAACTGGCAAGATCACAGCAAGCTCGTACGTTTACCGCGAGGAGGGGAGAGGAGGCAGGGCAAACTTGGCAGATCACAGCAAGCTCGTACGTTTACCGCGAGGAGGCGCACTCACCTTCCTGGACGTTCTCTAGGTAAACAGTAATGTAGACGTCGCGGTCGGTGCGGCACTGTGTGTGTTGGAATCCCGTGCAATGCATCATCTCATGGATCGCCGTCATCTTGTACTCGCAATTCATCCCGATGGAGATGTCCTGACGCGGCTGGGCGTTGCTCGTGATGTTGCCCACAAACGACCAGCAGCTGTAGAGTGATGTAGACGTAATGTAACGGGTCGCCCTGTCGCGCGTGTATGCGTGGTGGCGTGGCGTGCGTGCCGGGAGCGAGCGTGCGTGCGTGCAAGCGAGCGCGTGCGTGCGTGCGTCTGCGAGTGAGCGTGCGTGCGTGCGTGCGTGGTGCGTGCGTGCGTGCGTGCGTGCGTGCGTGCGTGCGTGTGAGCGTGCGTGCGTACGTGCGTGTGTGCGTGCGTGCGTGCGAGTGAGCGCATTGGTTAGTGTTGCGCGTCATGTTACCCACGTACGACCAGCAGTTTTAGAGTCACGCAACAAAACGAGTCACAGCGCACCGGAACGTAACGTGACATATCGCGTCACATCACATCCTGCCACATCACATCGCATCCTGCCACGTCACATGGCATCCTGCACGTCACATCGCATCCTTCCACGTCACATCGCATCCTGGCACGTCACCGCATGCTGCCACGGCACATCGCATTCCTGCCACGTCACATCGCATCCTGGGCACGCTCACTCACGTCACTTTACGTCGCGTCATGTCACATGTGGCCGCGTATGTGATATGCGTACGTACCCGTCGCCTCTGAAAGAGAACGAAGTGCGTCTCTGTCGTCCTGGGAACAAAGCGGACGCATGTATGCCTATTGTATGTCAGCGATGGCAGCATCTATCGCCTCGATGGCCGGGTAGACTGCGTGCATGCGAGCAGAGATATATTGATACATCAATCACGCATGCACGCACACACACACGCGCGCACACACACGCGCACACACACACCGCGCGCGCACGCACACACACACCACACAACA